CTCGGCGCCCTGCCCCCGCCCGCTGGACTCCGTTCCCAGGCCCCTGGCCCTTCCCAGGCGACAGGGGGAGCCCTGTGCCCACGCACAGGTCAGCCTCCCCAGGCCTAGAGACGGAGCCAGGGGTGCCTTTGACTTTACCCGGGAGGTTTGCCCAAACAGCTGCGCACCTGGCTGGCTGGCCAGCACCTCTTCTATTTATTATTATAATTATTATTATTATCATTTACTGCTTTTTGATCAGGCTCTCACTGGCCTTGAACTCACTGTGTAGCCCAGGCTGCCCCCAACTCCTGGTGATCCTCCTGCCTCAGCCTCCAGAAGGCTGTTACAGTCATGCGCCACCACTCCCAGCAGCACCTGGTTTTTAATGCGGTAAATTCAGATAGGGTGGGAGGGTGGAATCTACTTTTCAACTGTGTTGATGATGACCTACAATGGAATTAATTCTTTTCTTTTTGGTACCTGGGATCGAACACAGGACCTTGTGGTTGCCAGGCAGGTGCAGCACCACTGAGCTACATCCCCAGCCCATTATTAACTATTTTAAAAATATATTGTGAGAAATAAGCCGGCGGTGTATCTGAAACCTGTGCCCAGCACAACTCCAGGGGGCACAGCTGGGGATGGATCGTCTGTTGCCCTACAGGTGAGGAGGCAGGTGACTTGTTGCTCTCCTCAGGAGAGTTGGGTCTTCCACGCCCCTCTCAGCAGTGAGCCCCTTGCCCCCCAGATCTGGCTCAGGCCTGTGCACCCCGCAGGTGAGAAACCTGGAGGTCTCTACCTGGCTTCTGCGCAAGAAAAGGGCTTTTCTTCCTCCTCAGCCTCGGAGGCCTGGGGCGCTGCAGGGGGATTTGCTGAGTAAGGGATGCGCCGGCTCCGCCCCAGGGACTTCCCAGACTTTGATGTCAACTCTGTAGAAAAAAGCGGCGGTGGCGGCGGGAGGGGAGGCTGAGCCCCGCCGTGACCGACTGCCCCCTGTCCCTTTATGCGCGCTTCCTCCCCTGAGACTGCAAAGCCCCGGTCGGCGCCCGGGGAAGCAGCGGACCCCTGCCGGGAGGGCGCCCACCTCACAGGTGACTTCACAGAGAGGCCCGAGGTCGGGGCAGAGCTCTGGGTCAGGGACGGGAGTGTGGCGCCCGGGTCTTCTCGGCCTGCGCCCTCGCGCCAAGCGATGCCACCACCAGGGACACGGAGGGACCCGACTGCTGGGGGCCCCGCGGCAGCTGCTGCGTTCCTCGGGGGCTCTGGTGGCCCCGTGACCCCTAGAAGCAGAGGAGGACG